GGTAATAAATCGGGTACTTATGTATCGCGTGACATGCTCTTGCATGATTATTATTTCGCATCATGTGGGTAAAGTGTACAAACTCTGCAGAGTTAAAACTAATCGATTAGCCGTGCTCGCGGTCATGAGCGGCGTGTGGATATGTATTGAGTATAGACTTGTGTTTATTCTTCTAAATGCTGAAATTTACCTTCAAATTGTGATGAGATTTGAGAATGATCTCCTTGCTGCCATGGAAGGCAATGAGGTGCATATTTATACATGATTAATGCCTACCTTGATGCCCAATATGTCAAATACTAGCTTGCTGAAATTTTATTTGAAAGTAAACCTGATTTAGAAATGTTTTATGCAAATAAAACTTGCTTTATGCTAAAAAGAACCATATTATGCCTTCCTTGATTATATGCCTTGCAAGTAGGGTCTTAGGCTTGTCTTGGTGCTTGCCAGTACATTATTTCTAATAATGTACTGACTCTTGCTATTGAATTAACCTTTTGCTTGCAGGTTTTAGATTTAGTCTTTGAGTGATGCGGGTAATCGACTGCTTCTTCTAGGACTTGAACTTAATGGGGTAAACCCCTAGTCGGTGTGCTTGTGGATTGAGTAGACAAGCTTCCGCTGTTCTATATATTTATTTGGCCAGTTGGCCAATGTAACTAAAGTAGATGTAGTTTATAATCGCTTTCATCTTATTTGTGTTTGCTATGTATAATCATGCTTGAGATGAAAGTGTGAATCTAGTGCACATCCTGGGAACTAGATTCACATGAGTATGAGTTAAGAATATTTGAGATGTTGTAGATCTTTAGCCATTTTTGTCAAGTCTCCTGAATGTGTAACACATCTGGTCACCGCCTTCGAGTGGTTTGACGGGCACATCTCAGGCTGAAGTTGACTGGCAGGCTAAAGGCCCGGCAATGTCTCCAATATTCCTCTCTCGAGGCGTCGGATATTTCATTATACTTGTTTGATGACTTGAATTATACATTTCATCTCTCAATTATAATGGAAGGTCCGGAGAGCCTACGACAGATACCCCTTGAACTAACCACAGGCAATCAATTCTCTGCTACATTGCAAAATACCCCCATCAACAATTCTCACCCGAATAGAAGGTACAGACCTCTGTGTAGTACCCAATTTGTCAGCCATTTCCTCAGATATGAAACTGTGAGAACTTCCAGAATCAACAAGCATCATCACCTCATGATGAGTAATTAATCCTTGCAAACGCAAAGTACCAGAGGACTCTGTTCCAAGCATTGCCTCCTTTGAAATCTGCTAGACTTCACTGATTTGGTCAGGTTCAGTGTCACAATCGTCTTCAGTTTCATCTGGCACATTTCTGTCATCAGATTCATCCAACAATTCTAATAGTTCTCCCACCACATGTAACTGAACAGTGGGTCCACATTTGTGCTCACTGCTCCACTTCTCACCACACTTGTGACATAAACCCTTAGCCTTGCGATAAGCCCGCAGAGCAGCAACCCGATCTTCTATCGGCTGCATTTTGTCATCAGTCCGCCCACCATTGCCTCTAGGACGCTGTCCAGCTCGGTCTACTACCACAGCTTCAACCCATCGCAGTTCACAGCGTCCCGTAGCAAGCACTTCTTCCTGTAAACAGGCAAGATCCACGACAGTATCCATGTCGGCAGGACTATGTAACAAGACTGCCGAACGAATTTCAGGTTTCAACCCGTCAAGGAATTCAGTGACAAAAAACACTAGATTCCAGGACGAGTGATGAACATAAAGTTGGTGCATCAATTCATTAAACTTCTCCGCATAGCTAAGCACCGACCCAATTTGTCTAACCCTATTAAATTGCCTAATCAAACTCTGGAACTCCTCTCTCCCAAACTTAGCACAAACTGCTTCAGCAAACTCGCTCCAACTCATCAATTCAACATGTGCATTAGTGGATTGAAGCCAAGTAAGCGCCCCACCTATGAATTGCAACGCAGCGACACCTACCCAAACTTCTGGACTAACTCCACTAACCCGGAAATATGTTTCACACTTCATCTTCCACGCTCGGGGATTTTCTCCATCAAATTGTGGGCAATCAACTCCAACCCCTCCCCCATGAAAAACGGAAGCAAAACTCCGACTCGAACTCTCCCCAAATTCAAAAGGAATCCGAGACGCAAATGGAGTTCGAAACGTACCCTTGGCCGGGATAGACGCAGGAGAGGACTCCTCCCCACATGCCTTCCGCCGATTCGTCGTTGCAACGCCGCGGCCTAACGGCCCGTGACCAATGTCACTCTCGCTTGCCGAACGCTCGTCCTTCGCCACTGCGGTTAGCGGCTTCGTCGGCTTGGGGAGAATAGTCGGCAACTTGGACGGCTTGACGACGAGCACCGGATTGCGAGACAGCCGCTCCACTTGCTGCGCAGTTCACCGAGATCTTCCCGAAGGTCGGTCATGGCCTGATCCACCGCTGGTTTCCAGCTGGTCAACTCCACCACCATGGGCTTGATTTCTTCCAAGGATCCAACCGAGGCTTGGATGGCAGAGTTCTGCTTCTGAATCATTGCCATGGCCACCGTGAGTTCCGCCAGCTGTTGCTCCATTTCCTGCGACTTGAGTTGCGCCCGAGAATGATAGCGTGGTTTGTCAAGGTAATCTAGGATTGGTAGCTCTGATACCTATTGTTACGAATTGTCTAATCTCTCTCTCAGTAGAACTCAATCTGTTGGATTCGAACAGAATAGGAGGAAGAAGACAGATAAAAGACTTGGCGCAGGGGAAGAAGCAGTAGTTGGGAGGAATTTGTCTTAGTTATTCTTCATCGATGCCTCTCCCCCTCTCACACTTGCGCTTACATACTCGCACAAGTTTACAGGCTCAGGCCCATTCCGGCCCAGACACTCGCACATTCGGCCTTCGCTCTCTAGCACGGCGGATCCTAGACTTAACAGGATTCAGCGCCATTGTCGGGTCCGCTACAGTAGTGGTAACACACTTTTATGAGACAATGACATGTGGGACCAAAGTGCTAGAAAAAGAATCCTACCATAAGTGTGACAATGAACCAAACGCATTGCTAACTTAGTCAAAGCTGCTTAAGTTGAGGTGTGGCAAAGTGTGGCACCATGTGGTCACGAACCAAACAACCCCTAATACTCGCCATCCAAGAAGGCCAGAAGGGTGAAAGATCGATACCGTGGTTTAGGGTGTGTTTGGTTGAGCTGTGGCTTTTGAAAAAGTAGCTGTGGGCTGTGGCTTTTTAAAAAGTAGCTGTTGAATATGGGCTGTGACTTTTAGAAAAGCTCGTTTGGTTCAACAACTGTGGCTTTTGGAATAATAGTCCTGCTGACAAGCAGGCCCCACATGTCATACATGTTGGAAAATAAAATAAAGAGATGGAGGAGATGGCCATGGCCATCGCCGTCGGCCTCGGGCGGGGGCGGCGGGGAGGCAGCTCGGCGAGGAGAGCGAAGGCGGCAGTTCGGCGAGGAGGACGCGCGGCGGGGACGAGCGGCGATGGCGGGGAGGCAGCTCGGTGAGGAGGAGTGGCGGCAGCGGTTCGGCAAGGAGGAGGACGCGCAGCGGGGAGGAGCGGCGGCGTGGAGGAGCGCCCCCTTCGGCCACCTCACCTCCTTCGTATCCCGCATCCACAATCGACGGGCGAAGGGGCGGCGGCACCGGGAGGAGGAGGCAGCAGTGACGCCGCCGCCGTCTCGTCGCGCGACGCGAGCAGAGCAGGCGAGATCTCGTCGACGAGGTGGTTGTCATCGTCGACGAAGGCGACCGCGGTCTCCGTAGCGATGGCGCAGCGGAGGAGGGGCACGGCGGACAGGGCTGCCTCGTGGGGACGCACCGTGAGGTCGTCAGCGTGCACAAGGCCGAGGGAGGAGACGGAGCGGCCTCCGGCGATGTCCTTCGGCGACAGCGGTGGCAGATTGGAGGGGGAAACACGGCGGTGGCAGCAGGTCCTCTCCCCGTGGGCAGCGGCGATGGGGGAGGAGCTCGCCGGGAGGTCGCCGCTTCGCCGCCTCGCCGAGAGGTCGCCGCGTCGGACGAGGAGGAGAAGGGGCGGGGAGGAGTAGGGGCGGCACCGGCGTCAGGCGGGAGGCGGCACTAGCGTGAAGAAGATGCGAGGAGATGGGGAAAAGATCGAACCGTTTTCTTCATAATGGTAGAGGTGGGTAATTTTTTTCCCCAAAAAAGAAGGTGAAAGTAGGGGGTAGGGGTGCTTTTGGTTTGTACTACATCAAAAACTAGCTTTTGACAAAATCAGCTGTGGCTTTTGGGCCTTTTGGTTGGGTTTTGGCTTTTGCAAAAGCAAAAGCAGGTTGAAAAGTCCAACCAAACACACCCTTAGTCGTGTGGTATCCCGGTTTATGCGACGAGTAACTAATTAATTAACACACAGGACGAGGGCAGCACATGGGACGCCTAGAAGGCGTGCAACTAATAGTCTGATACTGCCGGCAGAGGGAGGCTCCTGAGAGGAGAATACAATACAAATAAGCAATATATAGGACCTCGATAGCTGTGTGGCAACTAGCATGTCGGGGCTGCGAGTATAGATGGCCAAAAGGCCCGAGGCCCGACGGCCCGGCCCATGGCACGGTATTTTGGCCCGGCCCAAGCACGGCACGGCCCGACGGAGGTCGGGCCCATGTCGGCCCGGCCCGACCACCAGGCCGTGCCTAGGCCCCTCCACCGGCACATTGGCCCGCCCGGCACGGCCGGGCCGGCCCGGCACGATGGGCCGGCAACTAGGCCCGATACACAAAAAAAAAATAGGGGAGTAAAAATAGACATATTATATGCCATGGACGAAAGAATTGGGATTTAAAATTGACTTTTTTTATCTATACATATGTCAGCCAAAGAGGAGGGATAGAAAATAGACTTATTTTAGCTATACATACGTCAGCCCAAAGAGGAGGGAAGGAAAATAAACTTATTTTAGCTATACATATGAAATAGCCCAAAGAGGAGGGATGAAAAATAGACTTATTTTAAAAAAGGCCCGATGAGCCACCCATGCCTTCGGGCCGGCACGGCACGGCCGGACAGCTGGTGGGCCGTGCCTGGGCGGGAGGTGCAGCCCATGAGCCGGCACGGCCGGGCCGGGCCGGCCTGATGGCTGCTGGGCCGTGCCCAGCCGTGCCTGGGCCGGGCTGTACCGGGTGGGCCCTTTGGCCATCTATAGCTGCGAGATGCAAGTCTCTCAGATTCCAATCCGGCGGATTGGTTACCTGGGTGAAGGGAGGAAAGTGACCAGAGGGAAGTGGTAGTGAGGGTGAGGCTAAACTAGTTGTGGGTGCTTGGGTCCTGCGGGGTTGATGGTTTTGGGGAGGTGGGGGGAGGCGGAGAGCTATCCTTTTAAGTATAAAACGAAGGTCACCCCTGTTGTGCAGACCCCTACCAAACTCGTGCATTCTGCATCCTGCTTGCCCAAACAACCTGCAGGTTAGAGAAAATGGATCAGGCCGCTGGAGGATGGCATGGTACTCAGCGTTGGGCAGCTGCTCGGCGAGGAGTATCGCCAGCTCCGCGGGGTCGGCGGCGAGGTCGCTCAGCTGCGCGACGAGCTGGCCACCATGAACGCCCTCCTCCGCATGCAGTCGGAGGCCGGCGAGGGCGCCGTGGACCACTTCGTACGGGAGTGGATGAGGCAGGTCTGCGAGGTCGCCTACGACGCCGAGGACTGCATCGACCTCTACTTCTGCCGCTGCCGCGTCAGGTTGCAGCTGAGTGACGGCGTGCTCAGCTGGGCCAGGCACCTGGCCTCCACGCTCTTTCCGCGGCGCCGCCTCGCCGGTGACATCAAGGCTCTCCGCGCCCGGGCGATCGAGATCAGCGAGCGCCACGCCCGGTACGGCGTCAACCGCGAGGAACTTCGCGGCTGGACTGTGTCTGCTGCTGCTCTGGTCCCCGCGACAGCGGCGGCTTTCCACCCAGCTGCCTGTGGCTCTGACCAGTTGGTCGGCATCGAGGGCCAGGCTAACACACTGGCGGACAAGCTGAAGGCGGTGGACGAAAGCAGCAATCTGAAGGTGTTCTCCATCGTGGGCTTCGGGGGGCTAGGGAAGACGACGCTGGCCATGGAGGTGTGCCGGAAGCTGGAGTCGGTGTTCCAGCGTCAGGCCATGGTGTCGGTGTCCCAGGCGTTCGACGCCAGCAAGGACCTGCAGGTACTCCTTAAGCGCATCATTCTGCAGATTATCAAACCGAAAAAGAGTAACGAGAACAGTATCAACGAAGAGCAGTCCACCGGTGACATCGACAGCATGGATGTGAGCACGCTGTTCCAAAAGCTGGAAGTGAGTCTCACTGGAATGAGGTACGAAAAACATATGTACAACTATTTTAAATGCATATACTATATATATATTCATTAACGATAATGACCAGATGGATTATGGTTATTTTTGTTATTTTATTATTTTGTCAACAATAAAAGAAGAAATTTGGAGGGAGAGACGTCCTCCAAACATTTTTAAGAAAAATTTGTTATCATGTTGAGAATTTAACATAGGACCTTGAAATAAAACCACACTCCTTACCACTGGCCACTGCCCTGCATCTCAACAATATATAACAACAACAACCTTTTGTCCATACTACCCTCATTGGCATGACCGAATAGTCTCATTACAAAACTCTAAGAGCAATTTTAAAGTTCTTGAGGAGATATTATGAGGTACCATTTTTTCTATTTTAAAGTTTTTGGTAACTAGATACTATGACGTACCAAATTTTACACTAAATTTTGAGCAATTCTACCATCCTTAAGGAGGTATCATGAGGTACTAAAAATTTAGTGCAAAATTTGGTACCTCATAGTACTTAGGTACCAAGAGATACGAAATTTATAGTAGAAAAAGTGGTACCTCATGGTACCTCCTCAAGGACTGTAAAATTACTCTATTTTTACATATTCTCCATCTGTTTTTGATTGACCAGCATTTAATTATTTGTTTTTGCATTCAAAATTTCGTTCTTAATTCTAGAAGATTTACAATGGAACCTGTAGGTACCTCATTGTGATCGACGACGTCTGGTCCACATCAGCATGGAATGCAATCCAATCAAAATTGCCAGAGAACAATTGTGGCAGCATAATCATGGTAACCACTCGGGTAGAAACTGTGGCCAAAGCAAGCAGTTCACCGAGTGTTTCTGGAGATTATATGCACAAGATCAATCCCCTAGGTGAAAAGGATGCAGAGAAGCTGTTCGTGAGCAGAGCATTTGGCTACAAGGAGTCATGCTGCCCCGAGGATCTGAAGGAACAAATGAAGAGTATTCTTAAAAAATGTGCCAGGCTGCCATTAGCCATTGTTAGCATCGCCGGCCTCCTATCAAGCTACAGATCATCGTCATCAGGGAGCATAAGGATGTGGCAGAGAATTTCTAACTCCATTGGTTCTCAGATGGAGATACACCCAACTCTAGAGGGGATGAAGCAGATAATTGCACTTAGCTACAACCACTTGCCCCATCATCTCAAGGCTTGCATGTTGTATCTTAGCATTTTTCCAGAGGATTATGTGACCAAGAAGAAGCGGCTGCTGCTCAGATGGATCGCGGAAGGCTTTGTCATGGAGAAACGGGGATTGACCATGTTCGAGGTTGCAGAATCTTACTATGACGAGCTCGTAAGCAGGAGTTTGATTGATGCAGTTAGGGTCCGTTTGGATGGAACCGTGAAGGCGGTGAAGGTGCATGATATGATGCTGGAGGTCATAGTGTCCAAGTCCCTGGAGAACTTTGTCAACTTTTTAGGAGCCCAATACGGCGGAGGGACACCATCCTACGACAGCGTCCGCCGCCTCGCCATCCATGGAGACGGAGGCCCCAAGCATGTCGTGGATGTGATGAGCGCAACACACGTCCGGTCGCTTAGCACGTTTGGGGCTCAAGGGAATATTGCAGTGCTCCATCGCCTCGCAGAGTTCACCCTGCTCAAGGTGCTTGACCTAGAAGACTGCAAGGAGGTGAAAGACTGCCATGTCAAGTATATCTGCCGGTTGTTTCTACTTAGGTTTCTGAGCTTGAGGAACACTGATGTGAGCACCATTTCTAGCCAGATCAGCAGGCTGCAACATTTGCAAACGCTCAACTTATATGGCACCCGCATCGAAAATCTCCCAACATCGGTGACTATGCTAGAGAGACTTGAATATCTCTTCTTCTCTGAGAGGTGGTCGATGCGTCGCTGGGAAATTCCCGTTGGGCTGAAGAAAATGATGGCATTGTGCACGCTGAGAACGATACGCCTCCCGAATGACCCGAATGTTGTCAAAGAAATAGGTGCCCTGGCACAGCTGCAGACTCTCGATATCACCATTCTCAACTCCAGCGAGGAGGTCCTTGCAAATCTGGCCGATGCGCTAGATAAGACCAACAACCTCCGGTCGCTCTACGCCTACGGTACAGGAAAAGATGAGCACAAGGATAGGTTGCTAAACTTCCTCCTCCGCCTCAAGACGCCGCCGCTTCTCCTCGAGAGCGTGAGGATCGACGGGGTCATGGACCAACTGCCCAAGTGGTTCAATTCACTGGTACATCTCGTCAAGATGTATACATGGAGGGTCAGCCTTACGGGTGACCATCTCTTGGCGTCTTGTGCGAGCTGCCTAACCTGGCGAGCGTTTCCCTTGGGTATGACAGCTGCACTGATGATGAGCTGCTTGTACGTTCCGCCTTCAAATTCCCTGCACTCAAAAGCTTTTATGTGGACCCTTACATTATGCCGAGAGCTATCCGATTTGAGAAGTCAACCATGGAAAAAATCGAGACCTTCAGAGTGTTTTTCTATGACAATGATGGGACTGGGAGACCGATCCTTGCCGGCATTGAGAACTTGACAAGCCTCAAGAAGCTGGAAGTGCTCACCCATAGCATAAATGCTGAGATCGAGATTCTGGAATGGCTCAAAGTTGAGAGAGCCAGGCACCAAGTTTGAGGTTGCAGTGAAATACCTCTGGTGACATGCATGTTTACTATACCTCTTGTTTTAATTTGTTTCCAGCTCCTGAGCTCCAACTTTCACATGGTTTTTTTCATGTTATTTTCCGTATAATAAATTCGTACTTTCTGTTTCACATGGATGACACCTCTTTACAATTTATAAAGCTTGTGCTGCATACTCGTACATATTGTTTCGTGGCAGCTCAGAAACCAGGAAAAAATTCTTAGGAAACAAGAGATTAAATTGCTTTGAGACTGTTGCTGCCTACGTTTCAAAAGTCCAGCAATGGGCCTCACGACATGTGGTGCAGGTATATGGCCCCATCCCTTCCACAGAACTAGCATGGTGGCTCGTGCAGATTGCGCGGCTAGCACTATTATAAAATTCTCATATAGTAGCATATATGATGAGGGATGTAGGTCCTGATCTTCTGATAGGTATTGATAAACAATCGATTTGGGCGGAGTCGTGACACAACTCGATCCGGCTTCTGAACGAACATGCTACTGAGCCCCGCAATCGCAGCACCATGTCTCCTTTGGTTGTCAACCGTGCCGAAACCCGGTTGACCTCGTCAAGAAGGCTAATCCCTGCATGCGAATCGAAGAACACAAGCAAGAACAAGATAGATTGCAACCAAATTGCATATGAATGATTAAGCACTCGAATTTGAGGTTCCACAAACCGATCTAGCGGCGAAACTGTTCTTGACAAAATAATCTAAGCAAAACCCAATTCTAAACGATGACGGCTACTGAATTAATATGATTAGGGACGTCCTAGGGTTGCCCTAGGGCGCACACCCCATTGGGCTAAGCCCACGACACAATTACAAAGCCCAAAACTCAAAATCAGATTCGGACAGGATGAGATACGTGGCTTGTTTTGCAGATTCCCGGCAGCTCGGTAGGAATTTTGATGTGGGACCAAAACCATCTGAAAGTAGACTTCATAAGATTTCCAACAAGTACTCATGGGCCGCAAAATTCCTTCTAGATCAGCGGCTAGGTCCGTTTGAAATTGATGCTGTCAGGAGGCCCGAATCCGAATCCAAAACGTGTAGAACTTTATCTCTTGTCTTTTATGAACCAAAAGTGACGTGGTGAGGTAGAAATAGACTTGGAGAAGGTCTTGGTTTGGTCCCCAATCAACTTCTTTAATCATCCATGCATTAGTTACGCTCGGTCTCTTTTCCTTCGCCCAAGCAAGTACCTCTGCAAACAAAAACACACGAAACTCATTATGTAGCAACGTTTGTTCAAATATATAACATGTAAATCTAATATAGATTTTATGCACCTTTGGTTGATTAATACATAAGGTAGTCATGGTTATATCCGAGCTAGTTATGTCCTCATCATCCTCCCCTTCTTGATTGGAAACCGTTCTCGGTTTCACCTTGTCGTGGAGCGTATTGCACTTATCTTTGTCTATCACAACATTCTGCGCGGAACATTTCTTGATGGCCATATGATTGGATCCTAAAATCTTTGTAGTCGAAAAACCACAACACTCCCCTTCTTGCAAACCAACCTGTAACTCATTTAAACAACTAGAGGAACTAGATAGAGAATTACTTATATGCATGCGGTCCTCTAGACAATACATTTCATCATGAAAAGGAGGTATAGTCAAATTCGAACAAATATATACTCGATGCACATTATATTCTCCTTTACTATCATAATTGCCAATAATATGAAAAATCACATCAGAAGGGCATGGCAATTCAAACCTAGCAAATAATTTCTTCTCTAAACAGTTGAGTGGACAAAGATCATCAAATTGAATATAACCCCAAGTATTTAAAGAAGATAGCAATTTAAGCTCTTCATTCTCGCTAGCAATGTGAATAACATGTTTAAACTCAATACATAGTGGCCCTACTATAGAACTAACATGTTCAGTCACTAGTTGTGGCATGGATATAAGTGAAGCATTGCACAACTCTTCTTCATCACAAGAAACATCAAGCAAATTGTTTTGTGACAAAGGTATTTCAACAATTGTTTCCACTATGGGTTGCTCTAACGTAGCATAAGTAGTGGACATAGTTGGCACATCATAACTATGCATACCTTGAGTAGTTATAACACCATTTTCATTACTTGCTTGGTCAATGGCACATTCTTCCAACATGCATAGAGCTATAGATAGATCTTTTTCCTCTTCGTCTTTCTTCTCTTTCTCATTACCTTAGTTGTTCTCAAATGCCTGCAAAACATTAGTATCCAAAACAATAGGCACAGCAATACGTTCGTTTTGTAATTCAGACTTAGTTGAAGACATCACAATAGCATCTTTCCTGGTATCTCTAAAAATCTCATCGATTCCATTCTTCATCCTTTGAAGATTATCTTCAAAAATTTCAGTAAAACTCATGGGTACCAATTTCATTTTCCGACAATTATATCTAAATGTGTATGTGTTAGCAACAAAATTATGCGATCCATTATTATCATATACCCATGGTTGACCAAACAACAAAGAACATGCTTGCATAGGGACAAGATCAAAATTGGCAGTATCATGGTAATTTCCAATTGAAAAATTTATTCTCACAATTCTATTTACCTTGAACTTACCACAAGAGTTGAACCATTTGATGTAATATAGATGAGGATGCGGTTGTGTAAGCAACTCAAGTTTCTCAACCAAATCTGAACTCACAAAGTTATTACAACTCTCACTATCGATTATAGTACGACATGCTCTATCCTTAACCACAAACTTTGTTTCAAATAAATCATGGTACTGCCATTGCTCCGCTTTCTCCATTTGAGAACTTAGCACTTGTTGCACCAAAGTACTGTCATCACGTGCACCTTGTTGGTATCGCTGATTTCGAGCGCCACTCATACCTGTCAATGCAAACACAAAAACAACAACAAACAATGAAGGTTATCCCTAATAATCTGCTATGCGGTGTAGTGGTACCTCTCAACAACTCAGCCAAATGGAGCACCTTACCAAGCTCTTACAAGTGTCTTACTAGCAATGCTAAGGACGGTACAACGGTGGCTGGTTCATGACACCTTGAAGGACGTGATGTGGCGATTGCAAGGATCAAAGCGGTGCTGACCAGAAGTATATATGTGGAGCTTGGGAGGCACAATATATAGTAGCAAAGGAACGCAATTATGCTAATCAGAAAATGCAAAGTTGAATAATAGTTCAAAGTACTAGTCAATGTGCTGGCCTAGCCTAGACTCAACTCTAGCTCAAGCAAGCACCCGACAACACTAAGGACTAGATATGAATCAATACACAACTCTGCACTCTGAAAACATACTCAAAAGATGAATGATTTTTTTTTCTTTCTTAGTGCAGCTTTTTTTAAGCACCTTTCTGCCTTTTTTTTCTTTTTTTTAGGTGCGGCTTTTTTTTCTTTTTTTTTCTTTGCACCTTTCTACCTTTTCTTTCTTTCTTTATTCTTTTTTTTACTTTTTTTTCAACAAAAACTGACCACTGACCTCGAAAAGGGACTCAAATGTAAATATAAATATTACAGGGACTCAAACGCAAAGTGCAAAACTAAAATTGGATCATCTCAAAAATGGATTGCTCATATCATGTAGGTTCCGTTTTTATAAAAATATCTTAAATCCGCTACTTAACAATTCTATAAAGAGGAATATACGGACAGTCACGGATATATCTCTCCTCACGTGCACACAGTACTCCCCTCACGCGCACAGTACGGCAACTCCAAAACCATTTGATAAAAATTTCTCCAAATCACAAAAACAGAAACCCGACGATGAGACGATTCAATTCAAGGTCCCGGCAACAACTAACGAGATAAAAAACTGGACCCAAAACTGACGTACAACTCACACACTTGAGTAATGAACCCTAGACCTAAGTGATGAACAGATGCAATACTCAAAACTAAAAATTAAATCTAAAACTAAACCAGCACTCGACACGACGATGCAATCTAGAATTCAACAAAGCAAAATCTAATAGAACAATGCAACGGCTCAAATTGTCTAGGTAAGGAATAATTTTTTTTGTTTGGTAATTTTCTGTTTATGGGAAGATAAATTACCTAACGGGCAACCGCGCTCTGATACCAACTGATGAGGGATGTAGGTCCCGATCTTCCAATAGGTATTGATAAACAGTCGATTTGGGCGGAGTCACGACACAACTCGATCCGGCTTCTGAACGAACACGCTACTGAGCCCCGCAATCGCAGCACCACGTCTCCTCTGGTTGTCAGCTGTGCCGAAACCCGGTTGACCTCGCCGAGAAGGCTAATCCCTGCATGCGAATCGAAGAACACAAGCAAGAACAAGATAGATTGCAACCAAATTGCATATGAATGATTAAGCACTCGAATTTGGGGTTCCACAAACCGATCTAGCCGCGAAATTGTTCTTGACAAAATAATCTAAGCAAAACCCAACTCTAAACGATGACGGCTACTGAATTAATATGATTAGGGACGTCCTAGGGTTGCCCTAGGGCGCACACCCCATTGGTCTAAGCCCACGACACAATTACAAAGCCCAAAACTCAAAATCAAATTCGGACTGGATGAGATACGTGGCTTATTTTGCAGATTCCCGGCAGCTCGGTAGGAATTTTGACGTGGGACCAAAACCATCTGAAAGTAGACTTCATAAGATTTCCAACAAGTACTCATGGGCTCCAAAATTCCTTCTAGATCAGCAGCTAGTTCCATTTGAAGTTGATGCTGTCAGGAGGCCCGAATTCGAATCCAAAACGTGTAGAACTTTATCTCTTGTCTTCTATGGACCAAAAGTGACGTGGTGAAGTAGAAATAGACTTGGAGAAGGTCTTGGTTTGGTCCCCAATCAACTTCTTTAATCGTCCATGCATTAGTTACGCTCGGTCTCTTTTCCTTCGCCCAAGCAAGTACCTCTGCAAACAAAAACACACGAAACTCATAATGTAGCAACGTTTGTTCAAATATATAACATGTAAATCTAATATAGAACATATACACCTTTGGTTGATTAATACATAAGGTAGTCATGGTTATATCCGAGCTAGTTATGTCCTCATCAATATATGTTTTCATATT